TCTCCTAGAAACTGGAACCATACAAGCCATCCGTTTTTCTTTTCTGCAAGTGCTGATGAGTGGAGCAAGGCCCTTAGGCCACGGCACGTAAGAAAAGGGGGGAAAAAAAAAACGAGACAACTACTGGAGTGTTTGTGAAGTTTGTAACCCATAACTCTTGGAACACAGACCTGAATCCGAATCCGGGATATATTGCTGGCCTACTCGTGGTCTTCCAGCAGTCCAATGCACATCCTTCCAAAGGTTATGGAAACCCTGCTAATTGCTTGCAGGGTACTTTTTGGAAAGGAGAATCAAACCAATGAGCAGTACGACGAGACCCCAAAATATTATCTTTCTGTGTACTTGCCCTTTTTAAAACGGACGGACACTTATGGGTATGACGACCTACCATTTCTGATTTTTTTTTTTCTTAATGCGCCGCATCACGTGCGAGCGCATGTGTGCGCATGTGCGCTGCGGCGCACGTGCGCAACTTGCGTGCACGTGATGCGGCGCAACTATGGGTCCAACTGATGGCTGGGGTGTTTCTCAAAATGTTTTTGTCATTGTCCTTCGCCGCAGCGTGGCTGCGGCGGGTCCACTTGGGCACATAATTTTCCCCAGCATAAGCATAATTTGAGCATTCCAATAGTTGGGTATAAGTGCAATTTGGCGGTACCAGCCTTGGCCCACCTCCGTCCTGGGCATGCAAATAGTTTGCACAGACCATTTCCTGGGTACAGATGCAAGTTGGGCACCCGGACTGGGTATAGCTGGTATTCCCATCTTTAAATGGGCTACAGACGCAATTTTCCCTCATTATTATTATTTATTGTTTGAATAAGAGAGGGGGCGATAAGGAGGAGGAGTCGGTTGGCCAGAGGAGGAGGAATGTCATTGTCTTTTGCTGGTGCACATTTTTTCTTCTTCTTCTTTATCTCTCCCTCCTCTAAAGTTCATTCATTTCTTTTACAATTGGACGACATTGTGCTTTCTCATGAATTTTGCACTGCGAAATCAGACAGAATCGTAACAGTTATTAAAAAAAGAAAAAAGAAAGAAAAGACAAGTGTGAAAGCCATAAAAGAATCCACTCACCTTCATGAAATACTCATCAGGCGTCTCTTCCGTGCCTGCCAGGAAGCTCCCCATCATTACTGACGAAGCACCAAGAGCCAAGGCCTGTGACAAGCAGTTAGAGCAAAGCCACACAAAGCCACACATTAGCTTTGGAACCAGTGCACCCAAGAGCCTAGCTCAGTGGGTACACCCATGAACTGTTGAAATACAGACCTGTGTTCGAATCCAGATGATGGAACTTGACGAGTAAAACCAACTACTAATGAATTGCTTGGGGCCAGTCAGCTCAATGATAATATCTCAAGGTTGTCGCCCTTTTAAAAACAACAAAAAAAAAAAAAAAAAAAAAAGCTTTGGCCCAGTGCTGTCACCTCTTAGCATATTCACACTACAGTTTTACTCGGATGCATCTGACCACAGTTCATACTGGAGCTGGATATATCTGACTGCAATTACGTTCAGAAATCAGCCAAAAAGCTCTTGTGTCTGCATGGCGTAAGTCTTCACATCACATTAGTTAAATAACCTATCTATGGCTGATTAACTTCACAAAAATGTTAATAAAGGGATAGGGGGGTCCCAAGGGCCTCCCATGTGCCTCGCAGAGAGATGTGCCTGAAGAGAATAGCCAAAACAAAGAGGGGTGGGAGCAGTTTTGAAAAAGGTCAGGCCACGCCTGCCTGGACCCTACTAGGTCGTGGGCAGATTCAGAAAGCCACTGCCTCTCCAAGATTGGCCCCCGCTCCAAGCTTGTCCCGATCCGTTCAAAGTTCTGGATCAGTCAAAATGTCTCTGGATCAGAAATCCGGAATGCAGTCCAACATACATGCACGACATTGTGTGGTGGAGCAAGGCCCACTATCCACACAACAGTGTCCATCACACTGTCGCACTGTCTGTGACATGTCCAGGCCACGTACTAACAGGTCTCTCTACCTGGGCCTGCCTGGCCTTTTACACATGGATGCGGAACCCAGGGCCTACCAGCCCTATACTGCCTGCTGTGCACCCTGGGGGGCTTGCATTATTTTTCTTTCCGTTTACCTTTTCTTGTTTCTTTATTTGATATGTAAACCACCAGCTCCTTGCCCAGGGAAAGCTGAGAATCGGGAATGCAACATTCCGTTTACCAGCTACTTGACCTACATGGCTGTCGGCACCCATGATGGTTAGTTTTTTTTTGGGCGCACACCGGAGGGAAAAAGAAGCTCAGAGGCACTGGTGGTCGAAATCGTTCGACTCCTTTTGATGGCGGGATGGGCATGAACATTGCAAAATCAGAATCCTTTCTACTTTTTCTTTTCAGTTCCAGTCTTTGAACTTTCTGTTTGTGATATCAAACTGTACACTAGATGACCTGTTGCGTCTTCTTCCACAATTGCAACAGGACGTATGAGCACATTCATGCATGGCTGTGCCGGCAACCGGCCGGCTGGACCGGACCGGATCCAACCGGGCCGGTTGGACCCCCGGTGGTCCAACCGGAATTCTGGTTGGGTCCAAAAGTGGGTCAAAAATTTTTTATTTATTTTTTTTGAAAATATGGTTGGACTGCGCTCACCGAGATCTCCCCGAATCCGCAAAGAAATCTTTGAACAGAGAAGTTTCGTTTGGGGGGTTGGGGGGTTGGGGAGGGGGGTATTTCAGGGGTTGAGGGTCGGGCATTGGGGGGTTTATGGTGAGGGTGTTAGTGGTGGAGTTTCAGCACAGGCTTCAGCAGACATTGACAACAACGTACCTGGCTTTCTGCAAACGTTGACGTTCTGCCCAAGAACTTTGAAGAGGGGCGTGGGGGTGTTAGTGGCAGGGTAGGGACGGTACTTCCCACCCAAAAACTTTCAAAAGGGGGGTAGGGGTTGTAGAGTTAGGGGGTGCTTCGTCCGAGTTGCCCTCGATACTGGTAGGGTGATGGTCCTGAGTGCTGGTCACACTGGGGTGTTAGTGGCAGGGTAGGGACGGTGCTTCCCAGCCAAAAACTTTGAAAAGAAGGGTGGGGGTTATAGTGTTAGGGGGTGCTTGTCACTGCTGTCTGGTGACTGCCCTCGATACTGGTAGGGCGATGGTCCTGACACTGAGGTAGTATAGTGGGGATAGGGGGTGCGCTAGGAGCATTAACATGGGGAAGGGTAGGGAAGGTGGCCTATCCTGTCAGGACAACCACCGGCTGCCGCTGCCAGCAATCACTGTGGGTCTAGTCCTTGGCCTCAACAACACCATGGGCTAAAAAAAAAAAAAA